TATTGATTCTTGATAATCATGAAAAGTGTCACTGATATCACCTATTTCCAAATGTCACACCCTTATTAGTTTATAAAATCATGTTTTCTAATAGTGACAATATGAATTACAGATAGAATTAGAGCCAAAACCGACCTCAACAAACTCCAATTGATATTTTTTCATCAGTTTAATACATTTTCAATAACGATCTACTGAGTTACCGAAACGGTCACAAATTTTGAAATGACCACCAGACTCTCTTAAAAGATCTAATTATATTGTAGTTAGATATGCCTGCCTGTCCAATGCTTTTGTGAGTATAAAAATATTGTTATTACATAATATTTTCAATTTTTTTATCTTTGTTGTGTCAGTTCTGCTACCGCCACTGTTCTCATTTTGGTTGAAATGTATAAGTCTACTCGAAATTGTCGAATCTATTTTGCTTCATATCATGAATCAATCAATAAATGTACTCATACTTCAATTACATTTAAGTTAAGATGAAGAAGCATCAAATTGATCTGATTATATTATATGATAATTTAGGTCACTCCAATTCATTAGGGTTAATCAAGGGTCCTACAAACAATTTTTAAATAATTTTTAGTATTTTTCGGGTAAATTTTGTTTAGGTATGGTTCATCTAACATGTTGTTTTATTGCTTTCGCGAAGAGTATTTTGTTCCATTTAAGTAGTAAATAGATTTATCACAGTCTCAAAGATATTCTCTGGGCTTTTTGACCGTGGTCTGCAGGTTTTAATGTCTGACATTTCGTCTACTACTGCGGTAGACTTTATCAAAGGCGAGGAAGGTGACGGTCGAAGTACGCGATTTATTTCCAACAGGAGTACCCAGTTACAGAAAATGCTATTATTACAGAGTATATATGAAATAAATATTAAAAATAATGGAATATAGAAATGTATAAAAGTAAATGCTGAAACAAAGTATATATAAAATATTCGTATACGTAGAATTTTGAAAGAGGTATGAAAAATTGAGTATATAACACAAAAATTTACAAATCATGCAATGTACTGACACAAATGTTATTTATAGTATTATTGAAAGTGATTGTGGATACATGATACCAAGGCGTTCAGAGAGTCGAAATGAATATCGCAATGTTCAGAGATTTTATTGAACCTACTACACATAAAATTCAATGGTGATCGTAGCATAAAATTTGTGCGTGATGCTTCGCAATAGAATTTCAGATTGTGTCGACCTTTACTTCTCGATACTAAGAAATTGATCTGGTAAAAGAACCGTACTGTCAATATTGTTGTTAAGTAATTTATGTAGAAATTCTATACCAAGGATAACTCTCCTATTTCCCAAAGATATATCAAATCGTGTCAACAAAATGTTATGATCGATGCCTCTCGTGGGGTATTATCCACCAACTTTTAGACTTAAGTATTTTAGGAACTTCCTTTGCACGCTCTCAATTGATGTTTTTTGGTAGTCGTAAAGTGGATTCAATAACACAGAGCCATAATCTAACTTCGATGTGACATACGCAAAATATTGATACAACACCAACAGAAACTTGAATCAAAGATCAGTTGAGGTACGGAAATTGATTTTTATTTTACCTAAATGGTATCAAATGAAAAAATTGTTTGTACTTTAGATTTTATTAATGGTTCATACTATAGTAGTTCAGGATGTAATTGTATTAAATGCATTTCGCAATCTAAATAACATCATAATTATTGAATACTTGTATTTAAAACAACGATAAAAATAAAATAAATACAACAATAAAAATTAATTGGCGCTCCGGGGCGACTTCATTGATTCCAGTGGCGCATTTGCTTTTTCAGCTGCAGGAAAACCCGGAAAAACCTGCAGCACCACATCATCTGAAGATCTTGATCTAANCTTGCCAATTCATGTTAAAAGTATATTCATTCAAAAACATACCGCAAAGCTGAATTATTTTTATTGCATTCAGAGAGGATATCACAAAATACAACTCTTCTGTCTTAATTCATGAATTTGGGTTGATGAAGAATTGGGGAACTATATTGTAGGACTATTCTTTTCAGAAACATAATCAACTTATGCCAAGTATCAATGAGTTATATTCTCTGTTGCGATATGGGGTAGTTTTTTAACCATATGGGGCTCTTCCTAATTTCTTTGTACCAGTGCAACAAACAATTCCTCTATAATAACTTTTTGGGTCGATGGATTGAAATTAAAGGATCCACCAAATTTCCTATTGAAAGACCAACAAGAAGTTAGTCTCTCAATACGATTGAATTTATTTTCATGAAACATTCACTATAATTAGACGAATCATTAGGAACAATAATTTCACCTACCTTGTACCTGCTGGGCACTTCTTAAAACTAGCAGTTTACTAATTAGTAATCTCTAATGGTTAAGGTCGGTAAGTTGTATAAATTGTATTGTAAATCACTACCAGTATAACTGAGGAATCTGCGTGTCTATTTTGTGGAAATTTGTAATTATTATCATGAATAGTGTTCTTGATTTTCAGCAAGTAATGGGTGTCAATGTATTCAATACTTCATATAGAATTCGATTAACCATATTTAATTTTTTTTTATTTTACGTTAATCTAAAATCGTTAGTATGGCCATAACCCCAAGTTCTCATTATATGTTATGTGAATCTAAAAACGAAGAAATCTCGTGGCTGGGACAATATTAGATCTGAAACCGTCAAGCACCTGAACTATGAAATATCTAAACCCCCTTGTTTGCATCATCAACAAATCTTTTACCAAAGGAAAATTTCCTGATTGATTGTTTCAAGCTTGGCATCATCAAACCACTATTCAAAACTGAAAATAAACAAAGTGTTGAAAACTATAGGCCAATTTCATTATTATCCGTTTTCTCAACGATTTTTGAGAAAATCTTGAATAGGTAATAGAATTTCAAAGAAAGTTCTTTGACAAATTCAACATTTTCTCCCAGAATCAGTTTGACGATAAATCGTCGATTTATCGAAAGCTTTTGACACCGTATGTCACAAAAGATTACTACATAAGATCGAGTCGTATGAAATAGCAGGTTCAGCATTAGATTTGTTAAAGGATTATCTATCTGATCGGAAAAAATAGTGAGTATTGACGGGGTTTTTAGCCGCCCGAGAGTCGTGACGTATGGGGTGCCGCAGGGTACTGTTCCGACCTAAAAATTGAGGCCCAAATTGACTAAAAAAAAATATCTGATTGATTCAAATATAACAAACTAACAATAAATAGCGTACAAACTTATTACTTACCGTTCACTATTTACTTCAACCACTTACCTAATCTAGGACCTTTGGAAATAGATAAAGGATACGGTGATAGTGGAAAACAATGAAATGAAATATCTTGGAATTATTATAGATAGGCACCCGAGATGGGATTTGATAGGATTACTAAGCAAATTCAGATATCTGGTCGATTATAACAACACAACAAAGTTTTTGTTTCGGGGTTGAAATTAGATGATTTTAATGTATTTCCACGTGTTAAAACCGAAAGTGACCATAAAAATTATATATTAGCTCTTGTTTTCAAGATATAGTATCATTATATTATATATATGTATATTGAGTTTTCAACAAATGAAATATTTCATCACCAACAGTTGGNTCAGGAGGACTTTCTTTCAGTTTGTGTCTGAAAGTTACTTCTTTGCATGATCTACACATCCATGTATAGAGTTACTTATTTTCAAATTGATTAATCCTTCCTTTCTTTGGAAGATTCTCTCATCCATTTTTTTTTGTATCAGATGGAGTAGTAGAAAGCCAAAAACTTTCTTTCCCAAAAAATTAATCACTCCTAAAAATATAACCCTTTCAAATCAAATAACAATATTGTTTTATGTACTTTCACTTTTCACGTATAGTATAACTACTCTTTAAGATTATGTACTGTGTATCTCAAAAACCAGAGCTAATACAAATTTTTCATTATTATTTTCGTTTTTATCACCCCAAAATTAGTAGAAATTGACTAATTTAGTGTAAGAAACATTCAAAAAATATTTTTTGTTGTGTTATTTGAACATGGAAAACTTCAAAATATGGTATTTTGTATTGGTCCAGTCTCAGCTATCCTACGGCATCCTGGGATGGAGTGGAGTGGCAGAAAACGACAGGAGTAGTTTGAGTGTAATACAAAAGTGGGTATTGAGAATAATATTGAAAAAAATCATGAGGTATTTCTCGAATCTACTTTGTTCCGAAAACCATATATATGATACAAGACAAATTTTCTGCCAAAGAATATTAACTTCTATAAATGAAATCAAAAGTTTTCTTCAATCCATTGAGCATACATATAATAAAAGAACTAAGATGAATTAAAAAATGTTTCGTGCCGTGAAAGGGTCATGTTAGAACATGGATAGACAAAACTGGTAGAAACAATATTCAATAATGTCATCAACCTGAAATTTTTGACATAGATTATATATCATTGTTGCTGCTGAATCGTCCCGATATTGACATGCTCACTCAATATAGATTTATAAACATGGAATTGATACATTTATCCTAATTTGATGCATTTACCTCATTATTACCTTTTACTCGATATGGACTTCCCACCTAGAATATCTTAGAAATGTATCTCTGTATTTATATTTTTTGTTGTTTGTTTTGAAATTTTGTTGTAATTCATAAACGTGTTGTAATTTGTGTTTTATCGAAAATACATTATCATTATTATTTTCATTTAGGTAAATCAAAAAGTAATTTTGGGACGTTTTCATAACATTTTGACATTTCCGGAATATGTGCAGATTAATTACATAAATTTAATCTGCTTATTATCGGTGGCTTTACCTAAAAAGTAAAGTTGGAATGCAGTGTATAATATTGTTAGCCATATTCACATTGCTTGCACTACAATATTATTGTTAACTAAAATTATCAACACACCAGTGTGCGAAAAAATAATGATTCGTATATTTCATCACTGAAGAGAACTATAACTTTTTGATTTCATCAAATAATATTGGATTTAATTTTTTCCAGGATACGAAGCCATCCGATTGCCAGAAGATGGCGTTCTCTATGGTTTTACTCCTCTCATGTATACTGCCCAGGAGGCTACGTATGCTCCCAAAGATCTCGATGCCGAAATGACACATTTGACTTTACGCCTTTCGAAACTACTTTTCTTTGGTACCGTCTATTTATGTGGCGTTGACCCGCCGGTACTCAAACTTGAAATTGAAGACGATGTCAGAGAATACGTTTCAGTGGTTTGCTCGCCCAACAGCAGGGATTCACCACCGGCTGCCATAGAGTTGGTAAGTTAGCCTGAATTTATTATTATTTCAGACTAGTAGAATGAAAATGTCAACTAACCTTAGTCGAAATTTTAACGTCTATACTACAATCGTCATATCTCAGGAGATAGCTACAGCCAGAATACTTTTCACAGTACCTTCGCCGTGGATACTTCTACAAGAAATTAAAGTCGTGCTATAACATGCTGAGATATCTGTTTCACTATACAATAGTTTCTTCAGTGGTTTTCATACTAACTAGGCTGAATGAACATCGGAGAAACTGTAGATTAGGTCAAATAGACAAATCGGCAGTAGCGGAACACGCGTTTAGTGAAGGAGATCATACGATACTGTTTGAAGATGTGAAATTATTTGCCCCCGATCACGGATACCACAGTCAGCTTGTACGGGAACCCATAGAAGTCCATAAACATACAGAAAACTACAACAGAAAAGAGGAGGCGATAACGCTTAACCGAATTTGAATCCCTTACTGAAAGATGCTAAGGCGGCAGCGGTGCAATGCAATCTAACAGGTAATAACACGTCGGCTAAATATGCTAAGGTGGCAGCAGTGCAACGCAATGGTAGAAAGATAGATATATATTTTATTTGACGTATATACTCATATACATAAATATGTAATAGATGAGTTACAAATACAAATAAAATAACAATTAGACCTTGGAGTGAATAATATATCACAGCAGGTTAAGAGAATAGAAGTCATAGCGGGATGATCACTCACATATCAACTCATTATTTATATAATTCAGTTGGCAGTTCTTAAATTCATTCAGAGAATAGAATGTGTTGTTATTGAAAAATACTTTAATTATTCTCTTGAACTTGTTTTTGCTCAAATTTTCAATGTGGGCGGGAAGTTTATTGAAGAGGTTCAAGTCTAGCGAATTTTTGGTCGAGGTAGTGAGTCTGTATCGCGGATTGATTAACTGATTATTGTTTCTTGTATTATAATTATGCGTATCGGAGTGAGTTTGGTAGATACCAATGTTCTTGTGGATCTGTAACAGGCAATAAAAAATATACGCTGAATATAGTGACATAATTTTGAATTCGGTAAAGTACTTTCTACAAGATTCCTTATATCCCACACAAGCTAATATCCTTATGGCCTTTTTCTGTATTCGGATAACTTTAAGTGAGAGACTAGGGTTTCCCCATAGTCGTTTACCATAAGTAATGTGTGTTCTCACGACAATTAGTTGAAATGGAAATTCTTTGGCATTTATTAAGGTTTTGTTTCAATTTGTTCCGCTATTCTTTCGCTCTATGCTCCGTCAATTCCATTGGAGTTTGACAATATTTGCATCATCTGCAAACAGCATGCATGATGACGGTGACAAGTTTTGCGGCACGTTATTATATAAAATGAATAGGAGAGGACCTAATACAGACCCTTGGGGTACCCCATGTTTGATTATTCCGAACTCTGATTGAGAATCCTGGTATAGAGAAACACGTGTGGCAGTTTTGTTGACTGTCTAGTGAAAATCTCACAATAAAATGTTATTGAATTAATAGTACAATTGTTTTTCTCATAAAAATATACTAAAAATGATTTCAATGTGAAGTTTGTTCGATCTTTTTATCTAATATCGTTTAAAAGTTGAGAGGGAGAGGATCTTCACGTCCGCTCTGAAGAGATGCTAACTGGTCTAACTCGTTTCACTCATTTCGCAAAATTCGAAGCGAGCAGGAGTTACACTCCGAAACTCGCATAGAGCTGTGCTATAAACGTGCAATTTTTGTAGTCTAATATGAAAGTTGTAAATTATTATGAACGTTTTCGAGGATAATGAATAAAAATCAATAATCCTAATTTATTCAATAAAAAATATAAGTTTGAAACATTCACAAAAGTATTGAAATTAAATACCATTCTTACAGAACAACATATACATTTTTCATCGCTTGATGCTGTTAGTTGAAATTTACACTTCTTAACTATCAAACTCATTGAGATACATAAATCCAGAATGCTGCAAATAACGTTACAAGATACATAAATTGCAAAAGTATCCAGCCAGCCTTTCTTCCAAGGTTTACAAGATTCTTGCAAGATTTCTTGTCGGCCAAATTTGGGTTTTTTACGAATTTGTTTCATTTTCCATTAAACTACCTTGATACGTTTTCGACTTTTCTATATATTCTGAATGGAATACTTGACAATTTATTTATGCAACGTTGAGACTAAAACAATTTCAGTTTTTTTTTAAGAACGTTATATAACGCTATATACCGCATTTCAATCTTACGATATTATCGTTTTGTATCCCTCAACTACAACTGATTACATGCAAAATGTCCTTTTCAAATCGAAATTTGAAATACCACTAATCAGTATATCTAACTCAATTAGAAATATATTTGATCATGCCTTATCAACGCGCCAAGCGTATTAATGAATCAATCATTAATGAATCCTATGAAATACGCCAATAGTCTTGTTTTTGGATTTTTTGCTTCGGAATTGATACCTGTCTTCTACAAATTTAACCCAGGTTTTCAGATTGATAAAATTCAATTACTCAACATTTTTGCCTCGTGTGCTTTTATTCCCGTGAGAAAATGCATATTTTGAAATAACGGATCACAGTTGCATAATTCAATTCGAAATTAACACAAAGACATTTCATGCTGAATAAATATTGAAGCTTCTGAGCCAAGGTGTGACAAAGAAGTTTCCATTACAAAATATTCAACCTCACAATGATAATAAAATATAAAATAAATAGCAATTCTTCAGTTTTGGCTCGTTTTAATAAAAAAAAACAGCAGTTTCATTTCATTCAGATATAAAAACCTGCAGACCACAGCTAATACTCGTAAGCCCGGAAACATATTACAATTAGTTTCATTATAATTTATCCATCTTTGATCCCATGTTAGCGTACATGGTCCAATTAAACGAATAGATATTTTATTTCAAAAAAATATATATAATAGACCGTAAGCACGTGCTATATGTTTGGAATCTCATTTGATACCTCTCAGAAATGTATGATTATTATTCTCTTGTTGAATGTGGTACACATGAAAACTTTGGAATACAGTAATTCAAGGGGGGGATAATTTGGCAAACTTGAATTTTTTCTAATCAAATACCATACAAAAAATGAGACAGGAAAATTCCTGGAAAACTGAACTCTATATAGAAAAAATTATTGCTTAACAGCTATTTTGGAATTGAGCAATTCATACCTGTCCCCAAAAAATTACTGTTTTTGATGTAAATAACTAATATCACGAAAGCTTTATAGGTTCCTGTTTCATTTTGTTTGTATGGCGTTTGACGAAGATTCTCACGGGTTGTTTTTCCGAGTTAAGTTCCAAACTCTAGACATCACCAGAAGATGGCAAATGAGACTTTGCCGAAATATCTTGAAAATGATCCTTGTAAGGATCAAAAATACAGAAAAATGAAGTTTCATTACAAACCATTAAATCAGTACTTAAGATAAATGAGGTTGTATAAACTAAATCGCAAAAATCGCAATCGCAGCATCAATGATAGATATGTATAAACACTTTTATAATTTTCAGATAATACAGTAATTATCTGATCAAATTAGACCACAAAACAGGGGTGAAGGTAAAAAAAATTCGCACCCAGCTTGAACTTGGTAGGACTGTTCAAAACACTATCATAATTGAAATCTAAGAAATCCTCATCGATCCGATACTTTGCAAAAATTTACTCGGGGTCAAAGGTCACAAAAACGAGTTTTTCGCGCTACATCTTTACCAATAACNACGCTTCCACCATCGATGAAAAGGTATATATTATATAACATTTTTTTCTTCTTATCATCTGAGCTTTGCAACCTAATATGTCTCTATGACGCTCGAGTAAATCCCCATTTTGCATCGTGTGCTTCCCTACTATTATGATGGTTTTCTGAACAATTCTACCAACTTTAAGCTGGGTGCGAATTTTTGTACCCTCGAATGTCTAAACGTTATGTCATATTATTTTATATTAAGGAAGTGTCTCATTTTACTGACATGTTTTGTGTTTATAATTCTTACATCCTGTTATTTTGCTTGTGATTCCAAATTGTATTTTATTAAAAATTATGTAGCTCATGTTTAAAGATGAAGATTTTCACTAACCAGTTTTAGTATTAACACGCTTGAAAAGGCTGTTCTATAGGGAAACACGTGTTGCGTTTTTTAAAAACTGTTTAGTGAAAAATCCCACGATATTGTGTTTCTTGAATACGTTACGGATTTTCGTCAATTATTTGGCCAATTCCATCGCATATAACTTGTGTTATAAGAAAGAGTACATTTAGTCGAATTATAATCGGGTCAATCTAGACATTGGAAGGTACATAAATTTAAAACAAGCTGCAAACGCGTGTGATTGTTCAAAACATAATCAAAAATAATATTTTAAAATTCCGAATGATTGCGATGTCTG